TTGAGTGTCATGTAGTCCATTTCTGTAAAGGCTTTGAACCACTGACCTTTCTGTTTGCAGTTCAGTGCTTATTCTAGGAGTCACATCAAAACTCCAATTATTATTTTTATACCATAATTAAAGTGAAAAATCTTAATTCTGAAATGTTTATACAAAATTATCCCAAATAATTTATTTCCTTTGCATAATTTTTGCCTCTTTATCCAAGTAGGAATGCTCACTCCATGAAAGAAAATAATTGGAATTTACTTATTGTATTTCTTTTTGGCATGTATGTCTTTGAACAGTGATTGACACATGGCTCAATAAATAAATACAGGCCAGTTGAAGACTGATGAATTATGTGGTTGTATGATTATCGTATGTAATAATAATCATAACAAACCCTTTCTGCAGCATGTATTTGTGTTAGACACCAAATGAGGACTTTATATACATGATCACTGTCCTCACAAAGTTCATTTTGTAAAGTGCATTTTTACCTCCATTTTATAAAAGAGGGAAGCAAGGGTTGGAGAGATTGCAAATGTCTAATATTAAAACAAAAATAAATAATGTGACCAGATTTCAAAAGTCTGTTTGATCCCAGAGTTTAAGCTCTAATAAAAAATTGTATTTCTTGAATTTATGAAAGTAATTTACATGTTCAGGTAAGAAAGAGAGGGATACCAGACTTAAGTATACAGAGAAGATAACTAATCACTGATACATGAGTTATCAGCTAAATTTTGATTTCTGAGTTATACACTTTTATGTTTTTCCATTTTCTAAAAGGAGAGGGCTTAATTTTAATTACTTCTGAAATAATAAAATAAATCTATTTCCTCTGTCAATCTTTCCTGTATAAATTTCTGAGGAAACTGCACTTTCCTACTTCTAGTTGTCTTCATTTTTGTTAAGTATAGTTGTTGTTGTTGTTAAGTGTTGTCGAGTTGGTTCTGACCCATAGCGACCCTGTACAGGGTTTCTGAGGCTGTAAATCTTTACGGGAGCAGAAAGCCTCATCTTTCTCCCGTGGAGTGGCTGGTAGTTTCGAATTGCTGACCTTGTGGTTCGCAGCCCAATTCGTAACCACTATGCTATTAGGTTTCAATTCCCTTTGAATACTACCTAGCACTGAGAATGTTGAGTGGTAGCTGTATAACTCTGGTCAAGAGCACTGACAGATAGCTCTTCTTGTTACCTTTGGAAATCTGGAGTACATTTGTCTTTGAAAGTTTTGAGTCTTCTATACCTATTTAGCTGCACTTCTGTATAGATATTTATACCACACAATGGACTGCTTTTATCTGGACATTATCATTATTTTAAAAATTGGAATACTATTCAAAGTATACACATTTAAAATATACCTCACAGTTGTCCCAAATAATGCTTTGTTGTTAGGTGCCATAGACTCGGTACTGACTCTTAGCAATCCTATGCACAACAGAATGAAATGCTGCTCAGTTCTGTGTCAACCTCACAATCATTGCTACATTTGAGTCCATTGTTGTTGCCACTGTTCCAATACATCTTATTGAAGGGTCTTCTTCGTTTTCTCTGACTTTCTACTTTACCAAACATTATTTTCTTCTCATGGAACTGGTCCCTCCTGACAAGATGTCTGAAGTTGAGAGATGAACTCTGGCCATCCTGGCTTACAGGGAGCATTCTGACTGCACTTCTTTCAACACAGATTGATTTGTTGTTTTGACACTCCATGGTACTTTCAATATTCTCCTCCAATACCGTAACTAAAATGCACCAATTCTTCTATGGTCTTCCTTATTCACTGTCTAACTTTTACATGCATGTGAGGTTATTGAAAATACCATGGCTTGGATCGGGTGCACCTTAATCTTCCAACTGACAACTTTGCTCTTCAACACTTATACAGAAGTTTTCTGAAGCAGATTTACCTAATGCAGTACATCATTTGGTTTCTTGACTGCTGCTTCCATGAGTGTTGATGGTTGATCTGACATTGTTAAGTCTTTTAACAATGTCAATCATTTCTCTATTTGTATGGATGTTGTTTATTGGACCCGTGGTGAGGATTTTTGTTTTCTTTACATTGAGGTACAACCCATAGCAAAGGCTGTGATCTTTGGTCTTCACAGTATTTTATGTCCTTTTTAATTTCAACAAGCAAGGTTGTATCATATGAATATCACAGGTTGTTAATGAGTCTTCCTGCAATCCTGATGCCATGTTTTTCTTCATATAATCAAGTTCCTTGGATTATTTGCTCAGCATACACACTGGATAAGTATGATGTAAGAATACAATACCTTTCCTAAGTTTAAATCATTTGGTATTTCCTTGTTTTGTTTGAACAACAGCCTCTCGTTCTATGTGTAGGTTCCTCATGAGTACAATTAAGTGCTCTGGAATACTCATTCTCCACAATGTTGTCCATAGTTTGGCATGATCCACAGAATCAAAAGCCTTTGCATACTCTATGAAGCACAGGTAATGGCTTTCTGGTCTTCTCTGCTCTCAGCCAAGATCTATCTGATGTCAGCCATGATATCCCTCATTCCACATCCTCTTCTGAATGTGACTTGAACCTCTTGAAGTTCTCTGTCCATATAAGGTTGCAACTATTTTTAAATTATCTTTAACAAGATTTTACTTGCATGTGACATTAATCCTGTGATTTCCACATTCCATCGGGTCACCTCTCTTTGGAATGGACACAGACATGGATCTCTTACAGCCAGTTTGCCAAGTAGTTGTTTTCCAAATTTCTTGACATAGTTGAGTGAGTGTCTCCAGTGCTTCATAAGTTTGTTGAAGGATTTCAGTTTGTGTTCCATAAATTCCTGGCCTCTTGTTGTTCCCCAAATCATGTAATTTAAAAAGGGAACAGAAAGAATGTTTAGAATCAAATTAATTAATGGCTCATTTTTCCTTCTCTGTTTTTCTCTAAATTGTCAATTAATGATGGTGTTATATTTCACACAATCTATAAGATCTTCTATAGGCCCTGGACTAAATTGCAAAGCTAAAGAAAGAAATAAAGAACCGAACTGAAATGCAGACTAACTGAACAAATGCTATTAAAAGTTATCAAGATGGCCATGACATTAAACTCAAGACTGACTTGAGAAGACAACTGTTACCCGTATTAAAGACTAGAGAAAGCTATACGAATACAAGCAAAGTGGCAAGAACAAAGAAGAAAAAACTTATAGATTGAGAACATCTGAAATTCATTGAAAAGACCTTTAAAAGTGCCTGAGTTTATTTTTTGCGGGGGTATTTCAGTCATAATTTCAGAGACTTCTATAAGCCAAGTCTGTTGAGAATGAGATGGGTGGGTTTTTCAGATCTTGGTAGGATATTTGTGTTTTTCAAGAGTGTTGTTCTAATTTTTATGTTATAAGCAAGGCTGCTTAACATCATATCTCTGTGTCTTTGACAGCAGTGAGGATTTCTGAGTGATGGAACTGGTTTTAAGCATGAAGTTTTTGGTTTTTTTAAAATGGTTTCCTAATTCTAGATCTTGTTTTATTTATTTATTTATTTAGAGCATTTTTATTATTAATTGAGTAAAGCTACCAGAGCAGATCATCTGTTTTGTGTACAACAAATCTCATAAAGATTTCCAACCTTGGAATCCCCATATGGGGTTGATATGTGTTGGAACCGACTCCATGACACACCACTACCATGTGGCAGCAGTTAGCCCACTTCTGCCCTGTGGTCCCTATTTCCATTCCACCCTCCTTCCCAACCCCTCAGAACCTTGTCTCCAGATAAGTATCACGCTTTTGATTTTGAATGGTTGATCATTTCATGATGAGCATACTTCACTGGTGGTGGTTGGTGGTTATGTGTCGTGGAGTTGGTTCCGACTCGGCGACCCTGTACAGGGTTTTCGAGGCTATAAATCTTTACGGGAGCAGAAAGCCTCATCTTTCTCCCGCAGAACAGCTGGTAGTTTCTAACTGATGACCTTAAGGTTCGCAGCCCGATTCGTAACCACTACGCTACGAGAGCTCCTTGCATACCCCACTATATACGTTCAATGCCTTCTGATTAATGTCTTCCAAGTTTGTGATGACTTCACTTGGGCTCATCATTCTTTATACAATTTAACAAAAAAGGAAATTGCGTTTTTAAGTAGCAATTTGAGTGACTGATTTTTTTTAAAGATAGTATATGCTCAGGCAGTTGAAGAAATGACATTAGCAATTTGAATGACAATTTTTT